TATCGACTACTTGTCTAAAGAGTCAAGCGATGAAGATAGTCAGGAAGATTTTTGTTAGACTTTTCACTGCTGTATGAACAGACGCATGTCGCCATTTTGATTCTCTTTAGTCACGCGTGGTGCTAACTGAGTCTTCTTCGAAAGAGAATTAAATACGCAAGATAGATTTCTGGCCGAACCACTATAACTGTTGTTGTGTAACAAAGCATAATTCTAAAACGTTGAAATGAGAAGAAACAGCTTTTCAAAAGTAGGGTTTATTAAATGTAATAGCGGGATCTACTCTACAAAAAAGAAGCTCTCAAAATCTTTACTGCTCAATGAATTGTAAGTAAGACGCTCGTTCGTTGATTTCACTGATTTCTGGCGAACTCATTTACTGTGGCCCAGCGAATTAAGGTTAATTCATAAATTTGAATCGTATAGAGCGAATACCTCACGTCAGTTTTTATATCTTGCAGAACGCGATTATTTCATTAATAAATAAAGTTTGTATCAAATTGATATGCATTTATTCGCATTATAGTAAACGTTTACTATATAGCGAGAGTCTTGATATTATGCGTGAGAACAGGTCTTCCTGGGCCGAGAGATCAAGATCTATAGATGTTAATATACGTTACCCTCCAAAACCTTTTTAACGTCGAATAATTTGATTATTGTATTTCTTACCAAGCAATGTTTGGATTAATGATGATGCCCACCGTCACCATCACTACCTACGAAAACTAGTTTGTAGACACCGCCGCACTCGGGGCATCTGTCAAATTCATGATCCTTTTCCAATTTCAACCAGAGAATCTCGTGCGAATCGCTAGGGTAGCCTTAAATTTCAAAAATAAACGTTTGTTATGCGTAAGAAAAGCAAACAAACAACAACAACATTACAATGGCCTTATTTAATTCACTAACCGGTGCACCCAACATAACGTTCAGGATCAACACTTTTGACGAGAATAGGATTGGTCTTAGTACCCAGATGAGTCAATATCAGCGGTTTCATATCAAAAAGTTCATGTCCCTCTATTTTAGCAAGTAATTCGGCTCTCTCGAGACCAGTTGCCTGTTCTAAATCCGTGGGAATGCTGCCTGTCTTTGCACCCGGGCCGATAAGGCTAGGTGAAGCGTCTATGAAAGCAAAAGTAGCAATTAAGTAGTAATATTAGTAAATAACATGTAATTATAAACGAGCAGTACTGAACTGGACAAGCAAATTGTCCATACCTCCCCTGCGAGCACCAAATACCGAAAATGATCGGATTACTCTCGGAGTGCGTGACTGAAATCTAAAGTTGTTCAGCGCAGCAAATCCAGTGCGACGAATAGCTGTATGAAGCATTCTGTATAACAAGCCGAGGATAAAGAAATAAAAATATACTTCTTGTAGAGGGAATTGTCTGTCGTTTGTCAGTTATTGATAGTAATAGCGCAACTAAATAGACGTATTAGTATAATTAGTGTAACTGATTTAAAATTTTTCTAAATGTGATGCATACAGTCGACCTCTCCCTACGGTCACACGGATTCATTGATGGTCATTTGATCAACATATGTTGTGGAGTCAAAACACGCGTCAACTCATTCTTCACCCTGGCAACATGAGGGATATCAAGTCGTCTGAGTATTTCCGTAGTAACGAAGATTGGAGCTTGTTAGCTTACTTAAAGTATCGCCAGACTCAAGAAGACTTTCAGCTAAATAAAGCTGATGAACATTTCTATTATGTTAAGAATCTGATGTATATTGCCAAAGCAAGAAAATACCTTGACGATTTTATGATAAGAATACTTTATAAAGGCTAATTACTGATGCAAGTGGGTTTGAGTACTAGAACACTCGACCCGTGCGATGTGTTGACAATTCCAGAATACCAATAACTGCAGTGACTTGGGATTAGCTGCGGCGCTTCTGGTAGGGTGCGCCTATTGACATGGCGCGACAAATGACTGTGGTTGCTTGTTGTCAAGCTGCGGCAGACCATGTTCCGCTTGTATCAGGATGCTTACGCAAAATACGCGGACAATTGACACATGTTACTTAATTAACGCATGTTTATTATATTAATATTAATACTTCTGAGAATAAACCAAAGCCTGGATCAGTAAATGCATTCTGGAGATCACTTTCATTGGAACTTGAAAAGGTTAGGGGTTTGTCGTTCACAATGCTAGTTGTCAAGAAAACCTCGTTTACACCACATTATCCATAATTAAAATATGCAGAAAGTACATTACGTGCCACAAATAATGAAACCGAAGTGGTTTGTTCTATCTCGGCTGTTGAAACAGAGTCATTACTGAAACGTAAGAGTGCCGCCTTCTTCTTTAAAAAAGCAAGAACCTATTGAAGTCTTAAGGCGTTCGAATAAGGCCAAATTATTTTTATGAAAAGTAAAAACGAACCCCATCCCGCGGGTGTTTTTGGACCGTGGCCCTTTGTGTGTGTGTGCGCGCGTTTTTTGTACCCGTTAGCTTTTGTAAGTTTTTTTTTAATACAATTTTGTTCATTTTTTGTATATACAGTTTTTTTTATGAAGATTGTAATAAAGCGGACAACAAAAAAAAGTGTGTGAGTATACCAAAATTTGCATTATTATTATCAACAATA